CCAGGTCTAAACTAGGGCTAAACCAGGACTATACCAGGTTTAAACTAGGGCTAAACCACAACTATACCGGGTCTAAACCAGGACTGAACTAAAGCTAAGATAGAACTATACCAGGTCTAAACTAGGGCTAAACTAGGACTAAACTACAGCCCATCCAGAACTATACCAGGTCTAAACCAGGACTAAACCAGGTCTAAACTAGGGCTAAACCAGAACTAAATCAAGACTAAATTAGATGTAATCCAGGAATAAACCAGGTCTAAACCAGGACTAAACCATGTCTGGAATTGCCCAAAGGAGCATGAATATGAATGAAGTATGAATAAAAACACTAGACCTGCAAAGAAGACAGGAATACTCCTCCACATCTGAGAAAATCACATCAACAAACTAAAAATGTCTCCCCCTAGAGGACCCGATTCTAACTGCAGAGTGACTAAAACCCAGTCCATCTCTGACCCATCCTCTGGCGCCGGCCCACTGTTTGGGAAACCCTGGTCTAATCCATTATCTGTGCTTCATACTCCGCTGGCTCTATTCTGGTCCGGTCCTGGAGCCTGGCCAGAGCTCCACTTAAACGCCCGCTGGGGAGAAGCACCTGAGTCAGCCCCACGATCACCTTAAACAGCCCGGAGACACGACGGGAAAGACGACGGACAGCGCCATCTAGAGGCCTGTTCACGAAGAGCACGTTTAGTCTTTAAAGTGCTCATACTGCGCTGTTTTCTGATCTGTTACAATCTTATTTCCTCATCACAAACAAACCCGGAGCTGTGTTTTCTTTTATTCACACACGTTTAACACAGAAACCCTACTTTGTTCCACTTGGTGATGTCATGAGGTGATGCAGGAAGTGCTCCACTGTGTTTTTACACTCCATACACCACTAGAATCATTTGGATGATTTCAGCCCTGGAATTGCCCATCTTTACTGAACAAAAACCTAAAATCACACTTAGTTTTTAATTATTACAATCACTTTAAACAGCCTGGAGACACAACAAGTAATGGAACAGACAGCGCCATCTAGAGGCCTGTTCACGGAGCTCACATTTAACTTTAAATGATCTGAATTGATGATGTAAAATGACATATTTGCATGTCTTTGAGTTTAGTTAAAGGATGCGCTGATGTTATTCAGAGTGCCAGTTCTGTTTTAATTATGATAGTTTGGGTGGAAATTACTAGCCTGATTCATCAAACAGTCTGATCTCGCAACATTAGAATTCGTTTGCTCGACGGTAGGTGGGTACTTTTTTATTTAACCAATCGCTGCTATTTGGTTTTGACGTATGTAATGCGCCACTAATGGGGCTAACTGGTATATTAAGCTTTTCCAAATCCCGTAGGAAGAACGGCAATAACGTCTTTGTAAAGACTTCACCAAACATTCTCTTTGTTCCGACTTTAAAATCCTCGATCGCGGGAATCATTGACAACACATAATGTCTGGCTCTTCGCTGATTGGCTGGTGCCCGAACTCGCATTTCTGGGATTTTTGTGAACAGCCTAGTGCAGGCCCGGGGGCCAGATCTGGCCCTCCAAGACCTTTAATCTGGCCCTCGGCTGATTTTCTACAAAAATATTTTAATTATATTTTCTATTAAAATATTGTTAATTTTCTGCGGTGTTTATCACAGCAGCGTCTCCAGCGTCTCTGTACGTGGCCCCTCCCACCAGAGCAGCACAAATGAAGACTTGTCTCTTTCCAAACGCTCTTAAAGGACGATCGTTTTGACTGTTGACCGTGACAACCTCATCAGCAAAATGTCAAAAATGAGAAAAGTGGATGTTGAGTGCAGGATTTTCCCAGAAAAATTGACTTATTCCTATTTACATACAAGATAATGTTAAAACATTGTGTTAAAATTACATTTTTCTGAAGGTTTCAGGTTGTTCATAATATTATAATATTTTGTAAAAGAAAGAGTTCATCAATTAAAAAAGATTTCTGTAATAGATTTGTGTTTCTCTGCACAAATATTTGAATTTATTGTTATTTTTGGGGTTTATATGACATGAGTTTTCTGATCCGGCCCCTTTGGGATCAAAGTAGGTTGGATACAGCCCCTGGACCAAAATGAGTTTGACACCCCTGTACTAGTCTATTCTGACTCCTGACCAAATCTCTGTAGAGAAATGAAATTGAGTGGAGGCACTGACTAGGAAATTACTACAACAGCAAATAAATTCACAAATGTTAACCCAGATTTTTAGAATGTAGAGAACTGAGTGTTGCCCTCTGAATTGTTTACCACAGCTCATAAGGAATTTCTAATGCCACAGATGCCCTGGTCAACTAGTAGTACATACCCAGACTAAATTAATTAATGCTCTTAGCTCTCTGTGAGAAGTGATGGCCAATTGTATTTGTGTGAGGACTGATTATGTTTCAGGGAATACTGCAAAGAATTAAAGCTTTGAGGTTTAACACTTGAATCATGTCCTTCTGTTTGTTACTCTGTTTTCTGTTAGTGATAGTAGTAATAGAAGTGTTGTGTTTTTTTATATATATTGGGTTTTCTGCAGGTCCAAGTCTAAAAAAACAGAATCATTATTTGTATAAACCTACATTTATTTAAATTTTATTGTTAAAGGTGCACTGCGTAACCTTTGAGCGTATACCACATGTTCAGGCTAGAATGTTTCACAGTAAGGCTTTAAACTTGACTGTCTCCATGGAAACAAGCAGGCCAAGGTACAGTTCAGGTATTTCCAAACAATAAAATCACCTAATGAGACCAAGACTGAACAGACTTTTAATGCCATACTGTGGAACATACAAAGCAACCAATAGCATCTCTCCAAAGAATAAGAAAAATGTGGCGTACCCTCTATCAGAAAAGTTACATAATGCACCTTTTTAATGAGCTGGCATCCGTATTTTGTATTCAGTTAGTAAAATAAAACCAATAATGTAATAAGTACGGCGGCTACTTAAACCAAATGTCTTAAAATTTTAAGTTCAACCTGCAGAAATCCTGTTGTGAGCGAAAACGTCGTCTTATAGAGTCCTAATTTTCCCTATTGCAGAATCCTTTACCGACTAGACGCAGATATTTGTTGATTTAAACCCTAAACTTTTCATCTGAACCATGTGTGGTAAATTAAACCCCAGTAGACTGTAGTTGGGTAGTTTTTCTTTCACTGCTGGCCTTGTGATTCTCCAGAAGGTGAGACTCTTCAATGGGATTTCTCTTTGTAAACTGGTTTCTAAAATGTAAATAGGTCCAGCTTCGCACTTCTGACCCAAGTCTACTGCCCTGAAGGATGGGTCAAATGCAGAGGACACATTTCTCAGAGACTAGAATGTGTTTATGCTTAATTTTCAATGCATCGTAAAAGGAATTATTACTTAAGAGTTTTTGCTTTTGAACTTGTAGCCTTTTAATTAACATTTTTGAATAGCAGGTCTTCCTCAAATGCAGAGAACATATTTTTCTCAGGGACAAGGACTAATCGTGTAATGCCCAGTTTATAATACAACTATTTAAAGAGGACATATTATGTAAAATCAAGTTTCATGAGGTTTTAATCATGGTATAATAGTGTTCTATCATTATTTATGTACTCAGAGCTGCATTGTGATTCATGCATGTTTGAGTGACCCTGTATTGTCCTGCATTTGAGGCTTGAGGGCTCAGAAGTTTTCACCTACCCCCTATCTCCACCCACAGCTCTGTGCTTATTTGCAGTTATTGAAAAAAAAATATGGCTCCCAAATTTTGTTTAAAAATGCCATGTAGCCATTTCTCAACAATATAAACACGTAAATGAAAATTCAACTCTTTGCTACTCTAATTATCTGTGTATGTTATGGTTTAAAGCTACCATCTGTAACATTATTTGTTATTTTTAAAAGTAGATGTGAAACAGAAGTATAATAAAATCTGGAAGGTGAACCCAAGATGGTGGCGTATCATTTTCAGTGGCCTGTGCTCATTGGTGCATGGGCCCAAAAACTTTCTCTTCCATGTGACGTCTGTAATGTGCACGAAGTGGAGCGTTTGGACCAGTCAGAGCGAGAGCTGCTAGAGTGGAGCTAGACTCAGCCTTACAAAACTTTTAGGCACTTTGAGGATTTAAAAATTTTAAAAAGTTTATGTTGTGAATATAGAAAAGAATCACAGGGTTCCCACGGCCATGAAAATCCTGGAAAAGTCATGGAAATTGAAAATGTCATTTCCCAGGCCTGGACAAGTCCTGGAAATTTGTAAATTCAGTGAAAGTTTTGGAAACGTCTTTTAGTTTTATTATCTTTCACGCAACTACAGTGTTCCGTTAAATTCTCATTACGCTATTATGATTATTTCCGAACGTCTGCGCCTTTTGTTTAAAAGAGACGACAATAAATGCACGGACAGTATTTTGAATGTTAAAAACTATAATACCAAACCATAAGGAAAGAGTTAACGTTTCATATTTAGCCCCAAAAGTCTAATCAATTCACATATGTAGGTGCCCTAAAGTTGTGGAAAATTCACTTTAGTCACTTTAGAAAAAGACATAGAAAAGTTTTGAAATTTTGTCAGTGAAAAAGAGTGGGAACCCTGGAATCTCTACAAAATCCGACCTTTGAGAAAGTTTTGTTGATGCCCTGTCAGCCGAACACGGAAGCTTAAATTCCCCAAAATTGCATGGCGCTCTAATTCTTTCTGAGCCCAAGCTTCTGGCAGCTACTAGTTGGTCTCAAGCCGGGACAGAGGGGGAACATCTATCCATTTTTAAAAATTATAGATCCATGATGTGAAACCAGTTCTCCCCTTGTCTCACTTTTGCTCTCTGGTCTTCTTCTGTCAGACCAGAGCTGGCACACTAGTGGTGAAATGTGAGAATACAACAGGGGTGGGTCCGCCGATTTAATTCCAGATGGTAGCTTTAATAACATAACAAAAGCATAGTATGTCCTCTTTATTTATATGAGTAGTGATAATGGTTATACAAGTTACCTTTTTGAATTGATTATAACTCGTTTTCTTCAATTTTTTATTATTTTTCAGACTGGAGGTGACCTGGAGGACCCCTGGTAGCGTGGCACCCAAACTTCTCTCTGTCCGGCCTCCTCGACGACATCGTCCCGAAGAGGAGCCCCAACTCTCTCTCTCTCTCTCTCTCTCCATCGCGCCGTGTTTATCTCCACAAAATAATCAACAAATCATCCAAAAACAACACAACGTAAACAAATGAGCGGAGAGGGCAGGAGTGAGTGATTACGTCTGAATGCTAGTTGTGCGTATGCGTGTGTGCGTGTTTGCGTTTGCGTGCGTGAGAGGAGAAAATTAAACAAATAACCACGAAAATAAAATAAAATACGCCTTCAAAAAAATTCAGAAATGATTTTATGAACTGAGATATTGTGATGGTAGAATTTTACCATTGAGATATTCTGTTTTGATTTCTTGAATGTTGACACCCGACTTCACCGCGACGAAAAAAAGGACCTAGCGTGTTTGTGGTTTAAAAGAAGGACAGTTTCGCTTTGACGAAAAAAAACAAAGCGCTTGCGAAATTTTAAGCGAATCGTTTTGGGGATAAACTTTTCGATGTTGATTCCTTATTCTCCTGGACCTTCTTGTGTGTGTGAGAGTCCAGATCATGAGATAAAAATGCCTAACATCCCTTATCGCTTTTTCGCCCTTGGACACATATTAAAACGCAAACATTTACATACAAGTACATACAAAGGAAACGTCGCGCCCCCTGGTGGACCACTCAGGAACTGACGTGGTAAAATACAAAAAAAACAAAAAAAACATGGTCATTGGAGATTTGTCCGTGATATTATTTAAGATATTTAAGTCCAAATAGCGATCCAGTGCCTTCACGTGTTTTGTAAGATTGTACCGGAGTTGTCAACAGCGGTGAGAGTCGTGTACAGTGACGTTTAAAGGGGATGTACCTGAGTTTTTTACGCTCTATTCACGCTTACGTCACAAACCAGGAAGATTTTTAGTATGGAAACATGCGATGACAACTTCTAGTATAGTTCCCGACTGTGATAAAACCCACTGAAGTAAATGTCGTCAGCGGTAAAATGAAGATTTCATACGTATGTGCTGTTTGGAATCATCTTGAATTTGGCTTCCTCATCTTTTCTAGGGCTTAAGAAGCTGATACGATACATAGGTCACGATACGATACATATCTGGATATAGCGCACTTTCGATTCAATATATTTCAAATTTATTTGCTAAATCATGGCTCTGATACTAAACGTCTTTGTTAAACCACGTCTCGTGCAAAGTTCATATGAAACACAAGCATTTTAATCCTCAAAACAGTGAAAATGTCAAATGTGTCGCATAAACGCATTAACACGATCATCTGAGAAAATAATATGCAAAAAAATAGATGAGAATGGGACAAGACGTGTTATAACTCAAATAAGACTATTGATACTAGGACTGGGTATCGTTAAGATCATTAAATCATGGCTGTGATACTAAAAGTCTTTGTTAAACCATGTCTTGTGCAAAGTTCATATAAAAAACAAACATTTTAATCGTCAAAACAGTGAAAATGTCAAATGTGTCGCATAAATGCATTAACACGATTGTCTGAGAGAATAATATGCAAAAAAATAGGTGATAAAAATAAAAATTGGAGAAGACGTGTTAAAACTATTGATACTAGGACAGGGTATCATTAACCAGCTCAGTATTGTATAGTATTCCCTCTAGTTTCATTAGTGCTGAAATGAATGCTTCCATCACAAAAGGGACCTGAAATGCAGATACAGATTTTAAGATCGTTAAATCGTGGCTGTGATGCTAAAAGTCTTTGTTAAAAAACGTCTTGTGTAAAGTTCATATAAAACACAAACATTTTAATCCTCAAAACAGTGAAAATGTCAAATGTGTTGCATAAAAACGTTTCCTTCCTCTGAACAAGCAACAAAACTGTAGCACTGTAACAAAATAATTTAGTAAAATAACAAAAAATACTCTTGGCGATATATCGATACAGCAGCCCACGATATCGATGCAATATAACGATATTTCGATATTTTTGCACACACCTAACCACTTCTAATCGCGTGTCAGCGGGGAAATGATCAAAACTGAGGTGTGGTTGTAATTGTTGATTAGCTGAACATAACAGAACGCTTCAATTACAGGTAGATAAAGAAAAGTGGGTCATTTTCTAATTTTTCCTAGATTTTGTCAGACTTACTACCGCGAACGGAGCCCCCCGGAAGTCGTCGTCGCATTTTCCGAACGTCTTCCCGGTTTGTGACGTAAGCGTGAATAAAGCCTACGGTCTTAAAGACTTGAGAAAAACAAAACAAAAAAACAGAGCAATGAGTTTATAAGTACTTTTCACAGCTTTCAGAGACCAGAGTTTTGCCACCACGGTAACTAGCATGCAAACAGCGTATCAGCTTTACTACAATAAAGCGCTTTACGAAAAGACGCAGAACGCAACGGTCTCGTTTTGACCTCAAGAGCTGCGCTGGGACAAAACCAAATGTACAAAATAACAAAATAAAAAAACAAAACACGGTAGAACTTTACGGTAGAACTGAGAGCAAAGCACTTATGAGCTAAAATGTGCGTATTGACTGTATATAGGGAATTTCGCTGAAGTGGCTAATGTCTATAGAGAGATACTATTTTGGTAATTAATTAGCCATGTATTAACATTTCTGTGGTCGTCATAGCAACGTTTAAGAAATCAGACGCCATTTTGGATGTGTAATATTCGAACGGCACTGCTGCGGCTCTCGACTCCATCTAGTGGTACGCGTTGGAATAGCAAGTCCCACCGCTTTTACGTGTGTGTTATATTCGGCGGTTCAGATGAAAATATCGTCACGAGAAACATTTCAAGCGGGATTTGAAAACGATTTGACCGCTTTTTGTATTTTGAGCCGACGTCTGCTCCTGATTGGTCCGTCGAGAGAAAGAGGGCGGGACTTTACGCCACACTCACCTGAGCACCGCATGAGGACTTCTATAGGATTCTTCGTGTACAGCGTCGTCATTTTTTTTCTTTATTGACCAGCGCTTGGACAGCCATTGGATTAAAAAAAACTTAAAACGTGACTTAACCGTGAAGGACCTCTGGACTCCTGCCGTGTGCGAAGTGGATTTCAAATGTTTTTTTTTTTTGTTTTTTTTTTCTTTGTTGATGATTAGACGATGATAATCATGACGGGGGCTACATGGGAAGTTGGTTCACTGCAAGCAACAAAATGAACTCATGGCAAATTTGGGGGGATTTTCGGGGGCTTTGTTGAATCACTGGTTGGTTGGAGCAGGACTTTTGGGCCCGAGTCGCTCAAAAACAGTCAAAGTGGTGGACTGTCCTGAAGATGGAGGAAATCGATATATTTTTTTCTTTATTTTTTATGTTGTCCATGAGGTTCCTAGCTGCTCGCTGTGTAGAGTGAATGACTCCCTGTTTTAACCCCTTCTGGTTTCAGACTGCATTGGTAATGTTTGTATTGCTGTTGTTTGATGCACTCACATTTGATTACAGAAAGCGTCTATATATGAAATAAAAGACCTGCCAAGGACCTCCTCTCCACGTCTCATTTCAGAACACTCTTATATAAACGTACGGGGGGTTGATTACAGCAAAAACAAACTATTTTCTTAAAGTTGCACTGCGTAACTTTATGTTTGGGGCTCCGTCACCTGCTTATTTCCGTAGATCTGTCACTGCTCTGCCCGGAATGTTCCACAGTATGACATTAAACAGCTCTACTTGACATTTATTAAATTACAGGTGGTTAGGCTTAGGTTCCATGGAGAAAAGCACTTGACGGACCTTCCACCAGAAAAGTTACACAATGCTACTTTAATGTCAAGGTCAGGATTTACATTTTATTCTTTTTTATCAAGAGGCTGAGCAATAAGAGGATTGGACAAGTTCCTGTGATTGAACATAGAGCTGCATTAGTCATTAGAGTGAGTACCGTATTTTTCGGACTATAAGTCGCACTTTTTTTCATGGTTTGGGTGTTTCCTTCGACTTATACTCCGCTGCGACTTATATATTAAAATTTTCAGACTGACAGCAGCGAGAGGCTCTAGTCTTGTGTGTCAGTATCTGTTCCTCCTGTACCACTGTCACTTCACTCTACTGCACGTGTCTCCTGCAGAAAGAGCCTCTGTCCTGTCTGTATCATGTCAGTCGATTGCACCATTACTTCTGTACAACTGAACAATTTTAAATTTAAACAAACTTATATAAAGACACCCGAAACCATCCTGTCGAGATTCAGAAAGGCCGGAATAATTCTGGCTGGAACTGATGCTGAGTCTGACGACAGTGACGCAGAAGAAGCAGCGCTCTGTTTACCTGCGGAGGTCATGAAGTTGCTCAGAAGTGACACCGAGGATGAAGAATTGAATGGATTTAGTGATTTGGAGTGAGATGGAGAGTTTGGTAAACTTGTTCTGTTCTGTTTGTTATAGTTTAATATGAAGAACTGTTCATATGTGACATTAACAGTCTTGTTGTTCTTTGTTCTATTGTTTTTACTATAACTTGCCTTTCAAGATAAAATGTCGGTTCTTGGTCTCTGATTTTATAAAAATTAATTTCCCCCAAAAAGTGCGACTTACTGTATACTCCGGAGCAACTTATAGTCCAAAAAGTACAGTAACTTTTTTTTTTTTTTTTTTTTCAAATATACATAAAAGCAACTTTTCATAAGATGTTTGGCCTTCAATGTAGTGGACTAAAATGTCTTAAAATACTAAAATACTTAATGGTGCATTGTGTAACGTTTCAGGTAGGGAGTCAACAGCCTCCTTGTCTTCATGAAGATGTTCTTGCTTTGGCTGAAATGTTCCACTGTATGGCATTAAACTTAACAATCTTGTGTTTATTCAATTAAGGCTTGAAAATGAGTTTATTGCTGAAATACCTGAAATGCAAACATTCTAACATTTAGCAGGGTTTCTTGCTTGTCACCAGAGAGATGGAGAAGGTTAATGTCGTACTGTGAAAGTAAAGCAATAACATCTCCATGGAGACACCTTACCTTCCACTGGAAATGTTACACTGTGCACCTTTTAAAGATGTTAAATTACATTGTCCTTTTACACATGCATATCTCACATTATGGGAAAGAAAAAAAAAATCTGCAGTTTAAGCAAATATTTAATTATGAGTTTAATTTTAACATTTGAAGCTAAAACATAGTAAATGTGTGGTCTTAAAAACCGGTTTATATTTTTATTCCAGTCCATATCTCAGTGTCGTACAGGTGTGAACAGAGCCTCCTCTTTAGATGAGATTATTTATACTCTGAACATCTGCAGCTCATTCCAGACTGAGAGATCGCAATGAAAATACGACACCACCACAAAACCTGGTCTAATCTCTCCTTAATTTGGTCATAATCCCAAATCTCCATCTCCGCAGTTTCAAAGGTGTTCTCAATCTGGTGTGGGATTACTGGAATGAGCAGTCCACCTCTGCTGCCGTCATTATTGTTATTATGATAATGTGATGTGTTTTTTTTTTTTTTTTTTTTTGGAGGGGGGGGTAAATTAATTTGGTGATGGTTGTGGTTTATTCGAGGCACACGCCAAATTTAAATCCATGACAATAAAGGAAAACAGTGACCCCTTAAAAGACAATGTAAGAACAGATGTCGCTAATCTAACGTTCGTTTATTACAGTAAGGATAATAAAATGCAAATTTATTCACACACCGGCAATTTTAATATTAACGCACAGAGATTTTTAGGCAGGAATAAATTTATTAGTACAGTTTAAAGAGATTTTACATTACTTTGCCTGGATTGTTCCTCAGTATGGCATTAAACTCGTCTGTTTCCATGGAGACAATCCAGCGTCACAACCAGGCCAAGTTTACAGGTCACAATTTTGGACAGATGACAGTAAGAATTTAGGTTTTTTTTAAGGTATTTTTGGAGCAATAAAAACACTCAAAATAAAACTAAGGTTATATTAACGTTGCATTTGAAGGATTTATGTCTGAGCAGCAGCAGTGAGTTGTACTTCCTGATAGAAAGTTTGGCAGCGGCGGACTGATATATGAGAAAATAGTCCCTCAACCTGCGACGATTCATGCGATGCAAGGTTAGTTTTATTTCAAACATTATTCTATCAACACAGACATTTACATGGACAGTCTGGTGTAATAATAGGTTTGTTCCGGGTGTTTTGTGGAGTGGGTAAGACTGTTTTTAGTGGCAGAATAACTATGGCCATTGACATGCACTAGTCTAGCACCAGTGACCTCTGCAAATACAAGGACTGGATGGAATATTTTAAAAAAGTGTCTCCACACGTCTCCAACACTCTGGCTCACTAGGAAATGAGGTCCTATGTCCAAAATTCCGAACTGTCCCTTTAAAGATGTACTGTGAAATGTTTTGTGCTATGTCACCTGCTTGTTTCTGCCTAGAAAGTTCCACAGTATGACATTAAACATCTCTACTTTACATTTATTCAATTACAGATGGTTTTATATTTAATACCTTGAAAACAGGGATTCTGACTGTGAGTGGGGTCACCTCTCCACAGATCTGACTCGTAACTTGGTCCGGTTTGGTCTCCGTGAAGATAGAAACGTTCCAGACGAAGCATTTGACGAACCCTCCACCAGAAGAGTTACACGATGCACCTTTGACACACCATAAGTTTAGTTTTTTTTTTGTGATTTAATGTTTACTTTCACTTTAAAAACAGCATTGGAAACCTCTTTGCAGTAGCCAGTATCTGTCTATACTTTTATTATTCTTTTAACCACGTGTGTGTCTTACCTTCTATAAACCTGTACATTGGAAAAACCTTGAAGTACGCGGAAAAGCTGCAGGTTCTTTACTTTAACCGTTTACGTCTTTCGAGCTTGTTCAATGACACTGCAGCGTCCCTATTCATCGTACACCTATCATCTCCTCTATGTTCTCTCTTTGTGCCTCCGCAAGGTTCGTCGACCCCGCGACCTTGGGCTGCCGTTTGCAAATAGCAAAACCAGCTGCTTTGTTAGAGCGCGAGATATGAGCTATGTACTCCTAGCGCTCCTACACCCACTCCATGTTTTTCTTGTATTCTTATTTCCCCAGTAACCTTGAGTTCCATCTACAAATAGGGTAGAGAAGAAGAGGGTTGGCAAGACTCGGTACGCTCGACTTGAAAATACCTGTAAAATACTGGTTAAACGTTTATTAACCATCTACTTATTATTTATTTACTTACTTTTTTCTCTTTTTTTTGGTCCATGTTTGTACATAATTATTAAACACTTGAAGACTCCAATGAGATGAATTTGGTCTTCCGATCTTTTATGTTATTAGGCTCTTTTTACGGACCGAGAGTTTGTTTTCATACCTGACATACCCAGTGGTCGTCCTCAGAGTCACGTGATGTTGCTGTGACGTGTCTGATCAGCTGATTTAAACCGGTTTTGGCGCTGTGGAGGCAAGACGACAGCGCCATCTGCAGTCCGACTTCCTCAGGACAGTATCCCAGGTGTGTGAGAGTAAAAAAGCCCCCTCGTCTCGGTTTATCGTCCCTTGGGCACGTTTCTGTATTTCAATTGCCTCTTTAATCCAGCGGTGATGTTTGTTTTCCTCTGTCCCAGTGACGTTTGCTCCGTCCCAGTCCATAATGTGGTTTTCTTTTTTACAGTGGTCAGAGATGATAGATTTGAGTTGTTCCTGTTCAAAACACAAAAACACAAAGCAGAACAGGAACAACTCAACGATTTATTTCAAGTTGATTTGATACGGTTCAAATAAAAAATAAAGGTTAAAATCATGGCTGTGATACTAAAAGACTTTGTTAAACCACTACTTGTGCAAAGTTCATCTGAAACACAAACATTTTATTCATCAAACCAGTGAAAATGTCAAATGTGTCGCATAAACGAGTTTCCAGCAACAAAACTGTAGCGCTGTAACAAAATAATTTAGTAAATAAACCAAAAAATGTATCAATACAGCAGCTCACAATATATTTCAAAATTTTTGCTCACCCCTAATCTTCATGGTGACCAAACCAAGCAAAAGTTACAGGTCAGATCTGTGGAGAGGCAACACAGTCAGAATTCAATTTTTTTTTAGGTATTTTTGACCACCTGTAATTGAATAAAAGTAAGGTAGATCTGTTTAATGTCATACTGTGGAACATTCCAGGCAGAGCAACAAGCAGGTGATGGACCCCCAAATGAAAACGTTAGATAGAGCACTTTTAAATATATTTTTTATCAACAGATAAAAACTGGTAAGGATTTCAGTTGATTTTTCCAATTAAAATGTTGTGTTTTTTTTGTTTTGTTTTGTTTTTTCAATGCTTAGCTGAGGCCCCATCCACACTAGTATGTATTCGAGTCATTTTTGTCCACACTAACCCGATGGAAACTGCTCCAGAGACGGAACGATCTGGTGCCGCCAGCTCCCACGAATTCATCTGAGTACAGATCTGATCCGGCACTGTGTGGACGCTTGAAAACACTGATACTCTGATGTAGTTCTATGTGCCACAAAGTAATTCACCGCCATAACGCTAAGAGGCTAGAATATATGTCCATTC